GTGTTGCAAAGTATAGCATTAATCGGGGGCATGCCAGTGCTCGTCAAACCATCACGGCATCTGGTCACGCCTTCACTCTTTGTCACTCAACGAATCTCTCTGAACCTTCACCAAATACCTCTCGCAACCAAGGAATATATGTAGAAGTTCCCTATTCTTCCACATCTCATTGTAACTTTCGTACGTACGTACATAACATCTCCACCGTCATACTATGCTACGAGTACCCCCAATATATCTAATAGAAACACCAAATCACCATATTCTCAGTCAAATCATCACATTCTCAGTCTAGTCTAGGTCTCGTGTACAAACCTTTCGCCGGTCAGTTGGTTGGTGTCGTGTACAGTCACACGAAGCACCGATCCTCGTGAATGACGTCTTTCGATGCTTGCTGCTGGTGCAGCGGATGGATGTCGAGCTCGTTATTCGAACTGAGCAAGATCATGGGACAGCGTGTGACCGCCACGGTGAGGTTAAAAGCAGGCAGGATGGCACCGTCGCTAATCCAAACCAGTTGGCATCCGCGGTGTTGTTCTTCGTCGTGGCGAAGTGCAGTCTCTGGAACGAACCGCAGTGCGTCCCATGCCCACGCGACAGCGGAGGGAAAGGAGAGGAGCCCTTTGGTGTCGGAACGTCGTCCAGCGAGTGTATTATATACAGGCCATGCATGCCCTTGACAGGAGGGCCCTCAACAGGCGCCGTAGACGTGTATGCGGCATTTCATCACACCCTTAGCGTGGAGTGTGAGGCGTTGTCGGCAGGCCGGCGAGGCATTGATCTGGCTTTGGCGGAGGTCAACCAAGGTTCTGCTGGCAAACCACGAAATGTTCCGTGATTTATTGCGACGGCGGTCGCCTGCATTGGCAGATGCTCGGCCCAGCTACCGCCCTCGTCCTTGCAAAATAAAGGGGGTTGGCCCAAAGCAGTCGAGCTGTTCAATGGTTGCATCGCTCCCGAGGGTGTAGCGAGGGCCCAATGTCACAGTTTCACAGCGACAACTACGTCGATTCCGACAATTGTCTCCTTACCATGCAGCTTCAGGATGGATTTCGTCTCCAGGAGTGCCCTCTAGCAAATCTCTTTAGGGCCTTGATGACTCGTTGTGTGTTCTTGAGGCAGGCGTGGTTTGGAGTGGTTCCTGGGACAGATCAGCCGGGCAGCTGGTCTGCAAATCAGCCATATTTGCTTTCGACTACCACCGTGTGATGTTGACGTTCGACAATAGACTTTGAACGTGCAGGTGCTGCCCCTAGATGCGTACAGCGTGCAGGCAAGGAGCACGCAGCTGTAGGAGCATGCGGGCTGCTCGAGCCGATCGACGGTAGTGGCGGGCGGGGGGAGGGGTGTGGGAGAACAGGCACACCGGAAGAGCAGCAGGACGGAGATCCCTCATGATCGCTGTTGCGATCATGGGGATGAGGATAATCGTACCTCGGTACCACAAAAATACTCAAGTTCAAAGGGATGTGATCCCATTTGTCCGCTATTTATTCCGAATCAAGACGCGCTGTTGATTGGATCATTCCAAGCATTCTTTTGTCCCCCCAAGACATTGTTTTCCGTTTTGTAATCCGGCACTTCAGTCGCAGGGTAGCGGTGCTTGTCCTAGAATTCAAAACAAGAGAAAAGAAAGGCCCCTTCTCCAGGCGCAGCGACCTACGTAAAGCCTTCATTTTTTTCTTATTCCCCGCATCTCTCTCTCGCTCCGAACAAGGGGGAAAAGCCTTTGATTTTCCCTTGAGGATCCGCTTGTCGGACAGTAATTCTGAGGCTGTGGGGCAGCTCTCAGTATGTATTGAAGAAATTGTTTTCGTTCCGAACTTGAAATAGAAAAATAAGACGAGGTTGACGCCCTGCAACCGAATCTGCACGAGAAATTTCGTTTGCCTCTTCCTGCAATAACCACATGTATGTACGATTTCCAAGTATAATACAGCACACGATTCCTCGTGACAATCCCCAGACTCGTAGTTTGCCCAATTTAACAAAATCGAAATTTTCGCGTGTTATCTAAATATCGTTTCCTCCTCTTGCACTCTATGGATGGCTCGAAATATTTGGTATTTCTGGCCGGAATACCATTGGAAAAAATGACCAGTGGTACCGTGTGACATGTACACTGCCGTGGCAACAAGGGTTTGGTCCCTTGCCGTACAGGGTTTTCGTACGAACGGGCCTGCACTGCTGTAGCAGAAACCCCTCAAGGCTAATGAAACAAATAATTAAGCATCCCCCCTAAACTTGCCTGCGGTTTTCCTCCTCGAGAGATTCTTCCGGGGTGGCGGAAAAGGGCGCGTCCAGCTCGCGTTCGAAGTCTGTCTTCGCTTTTTCCGACAGCATTCTTGCTGTGAATGGTGTCGCTCAGCAACATGCTGAGAACAACGTCCGCCGCAATTGACAGACACGAGGTTAAATTTAGTAGGCTGTCCTGAAGAACATGTCGTGTGGCTATAGGCAGGACCCGGGTGTCAATCGAGGCTTATTGTTTTTTTTTGTTTTTTTGCCTTCCGACAATTGCAGGTGTACCTCAGAAAACTTCTACTTAATGTCTCATACTCTACATGAATATTAAACCAATACGAAGTGCAACAACATATGTAGGACTTATTTCTACTGTCACTTACATCGCAAAAATATCTCCTCTTCAATTTCAAATAAAACCAATGACAATCCTCATGGTATCCTACATGCGTTCGTAAGCTTGCTAAAATACTACTGCGTTGATGTCCACTTGTAAAAGCTGAAATCCAACAAATGCTTTGATCCATGCTACATCTCCGTGTTGGAAAAGCCCTTTCTTCTCCGTTCATGATAACATCTTACCCTATTCTACGCAAATCTGTCACATCTACTCTCAAACAAGACGCCAACTTCAAACGAAAACGCGTTCTACGATGCGTCTACACTCCATCCCCATATCATTGGCGTTGACTGGTTCGAGGTCGATCTTGTTCGCCTGTTTTCGGCGTCTTGACGCCCGCGCAATGCGAGCTTGTACCTCTGCACTCGCCGAGATACGGCCACCTGTGTAGCCACGGAAAGGATCTGAAGAAGTCGTTCCTTGAAGACTCATTTCAGAGCCATCGTTCCTCCGTCCCTTCCTCCCACGGCATGTGTCGCAAGTTCATCGATGAACTCGTAACCC